AAAATAATAATGGACCATTGTTTGACCAACACAGGTACCGGACACTGGACCCCCATTGAGCCACCGATGGTATGTTGGTGAACAAACGTTGGGCCATTGTTGGGCCAACACAAAAAGTACGTTGGGCCAATGTTGGGCCATTGTTGATTAAATCACTGCTGGTAATTGACGTTGGGCCAATGTTGGGCCAACGTTGACCAAATGCTGTAATAAAATAGGCTAACGTTGTGCCAACGTTGGGCCAACATGTTGCCAACGTAGGGCCGATGAGCAAACTTGCATTGGGCCAACGTTAGGTAGCCAACGTTGGACCAACGCAGTCAACAACTGTGCGCCAACGTTGGCCCAACATAGTCATGCTATCTGGGTCTCGACCTCTGAGGTTATTCTGAAACATTCATGAAAACGCGGACTTTATTTATTAAACAAGTTGCATTAATGAAACAAGAAATTTAGCAGTCTTGTTAAAAGTCATCATTTCGTAAATTCTATGGTCGATACAATGACTTTGTCAGCAAATGCAATTTATCAATGAATAAAATGATGACTGACGTTTTTCATGTTTTTCATACTAATTGTTAGGCCTTTATATACACACTGAATTGAACGATCCGTTATTTCCCGGTTATGACAAGGAACATAAGGCGGACGTGACCTGTCGGCAGGGGGCCGGGGGGGGGGGGTGTTGCTCACTTCTTCATGACACCTGATCCCATCTCTGACGAGCTGGAGGTCCGTGTTTGCTCCTCCTATTCTGTATTGCTTTATGAACTGTTGAGCTTGAATGCTGTTGATTATCTTCTTATTTTTCATTACACACCGAAATTTCTACCGATTCCCCCCCCCCCCTCATCCGATCCAGACAATAAGCACATGGCGGATTTGACCGATCAATAGGGAATGTTTTCTTGTCCATGACATCTGATCCGGTCTATTATGTTTCTGGTCCGTGTGTACTCTTCTTCCAATTGTCATTATTTCAATCGTTATCTGAGCTTTGATACTGTTCGTTATCTTCCTATTTCTCTACATCCATCTACATGTATAGCTATACAGTAACGCTTGCTCAAAGTCTTGAGAATTAAGTGCGCTTCATCCTTAATTCCTTATAATTGTATAATATATGTTTTAATATATAATAAACGTATTTGCAATACACAAATTTTCCTTTACATATGACTTTTGCTTATTTTCAGAGAGGTAGTAAATAATAATATTTATCTTAAAGAATTTTTTATTTTTTAATGAATCATTTTTCGTAAATAAAAACTCTTGTAAAATATCAAGTCAATCTTCATATTTTTTCCTAAATTATTAGCTAGATTAACATTTCCTTACTTTCATTTTCTATTGTACAAAATATCATTTTGATCTATTTATTATGTTGCTATATTCCAGTTTCTTGATCCTGTATTTTTTTAATCGAATTAAAAATTTTGCAAGGCATGAATTTGAATTCCCCGCTATATCAGTAATCTAAACGAGTTTTGGTGTTGATAAGTTTAAATAAGTTCTGCATTAGTCTAGATTTGACAAATGTTTATCAAAAAAGAATATACTTCAAATTTACTCATCAACCCCGAATTATTTTAAAACTTTTTAAAAATATCATGCTTAGTGTTGCAAAAATAAAACTTGGTGATAGGGCTGGTTTCACATTTTGTCAATTTCATCTTATCATTTATTTACTTCATGGATCAAAGAGAAGAAGTGAGAAATATCAGCTTTGTCCGAATGGTAACTGACAACTCAGATTGTGTTTTATTATGGAAGATGTTTTGCAAAATGATTATCTCGAATATGACCAGATAAAGTTACTTGAGTATTGTCTACATAGTAGAAAATTTTATTTTTTCTTAGGAACACGTAATATGCTTACATATCTATTGAATTCTTATTGTGAATAAACCTTTGGAGCAAAATTTAAACGTTAAAGAAATACACAAAAGTAAGTCTTCAGACGTAGAGGTAATTGCATAATAAATGATCTTTAACGAATAATGGAGCGAAGCTTGACGAAAGCTGGCAAAATTCAGTCAATCTTGAAAACATTTTCCTACAGAGAATGTTTTCATGGTTATTAAAGGTGTTAAGGAATTAATCAATAATTAATTCAAAAATATTTATTTTTATAATGGTTCAGTTGTGATAACTAATCTGTCTTGAAAAAAACTCTCTCATCCATTTTTTTTTAATTCAATGTTATATACTAGTATTTTTAAAGTTATTTGAAACGAGAGAAAAAATCTAAAATTGACTTTCTGAAATTATAATACGAAGCCAAGCAGGTATACTTTTTTGGATAAAAAAACTGCTATATTATAAACATATATATTTAATTTAGTATGGCGAATAGTAACCATGGTTCATACTCTATAGCTACGGGTGTGGAATATATATATTTATTAATTAACTCTACGATAAAATAGTAATTATTTCTCTAATATATTTATTCCAATGTTCGCCCCATGTTGTATTTTTTGCAATTTCTTTTAAATATTCCTATTTCAATTTGTGCTGCAAAGGATGGAAGCTGAAATTTCACATGAATCACAGAAAAGGTTATAAAAGCTAGCAATAAATGAAAAAAATATGATTCAATTAATATGTTTTTTACTTCTTCAAAAATTGTAATTTTGATGACATTATTAAATTCACAGCTGTGCAATCAACACATTGCATAAATAACATCAACATTTTAAATTGTTTGTTAGACAGTTTATATATAAAGAAAGCTCTAGGTTTGTATCAATTAACATCAATGTACTTGTAGATCGTTTTTAATGATAGGGGGAATCAAAAAAAAATTCAGTTCTAAATATTCAAAGGAAACAAATTCCTTATTGATAAAATAACGTTATATATCAAAGGTTCCTTTAATTAACGACTATCATGAATAACATCACCTGGAAGCCATATTTCCTGTGTGTTTCATGTGGCACTTGTAAGGAAATTAAATATCAGCAAACGTCAATCACCTACTGTGCACAAACGATATGATTTTGATTTTTAAGATATTTTGCTTCTTCAGCAAAAAGTGACATTTAGTCTATAAATGCGACAATTCAGTCGTATTGGCAAGCTATAAAGCTTGCATTTTCTTTTACTTGAAACCCTCTAAAACTCGTTTTATTCAAGTTAATTAGGTCCTTCTTCACTTCTGGGGGTTAACAGTTCAAACTAGAACATAAAGGGCTAGGTTCCCAATTCATTACATACGTCGTATATTTGCATTCGAAGAGATTTAAAATTGTCTTTGTTTTTACACACCTTTATCCTCATTTTAGATATTAGTTCATATTTCCACGTCCAAATGTAATTGAAATACAAGTATCATACGTTGCTTTATTTTTTATGCACTTCTTTTAATGATATCCATTGAAAAGCAAAAATTCGTATCTGAAGAGAGAATATTATATTTTTTTTAACCAATTGTTTTATTAAAGCAAAACTGATACAACCTACTTATTCCAACGTATTTAAAGTGAATGAATATATGGTTCAGAGATAAAACGCGACCATAAAATGTATGGAAAATACATTATATTCAAATGTGATTACAAAATATATTTATTGGTACAAACACCATTACATTACTGGCAAAGGCACCAAGTAGGCTGTCTGTAAAGGAGACCAATATTAAGGTAGTCCGATCCTCAGGTTTATAAAATTAGCAGTTAAGAAATCAAAATTAGTTTTCTAAATTTATCCACAATATTTCTTTAAAGTCAAAGATTAAAGTTAATCATATTATATAGGAAAAATTGTCAAATCTCCAATATTTTTGCAGAAAATGCGAATTGTAATATCTGCAATGCATTTTTTAATTGTAAATTGATCAACAAATATATTTTAGGTTAAAAAACGATAGGTATCCAGGCATTCAGAGAAATTGTCATGATTTTTATACTTATTTTGTACTTTTTGTCTTCTATTTCCGTCATGTATTCTATAATATATAGTGTAAAAGTCTTTTGCTATCTTATTTCATATCATGCTAATAAACATTGATGTATAAGGCTGGATTCAAGAAAATCTTATTTCGCCTAAACTGTATCATTTTTTTTCCTTTTAAAGGGTACAAATGTCAACTTTTATAAGACCTTTTGTAAGACTTCCAATAGCTTTGAATCTTATAAAGATGAATAAAATGTAAATTGTTGCATGAAAAAATTCATTTTCAAGCTTCATTTTGATGCATTTCAAATTGAATATTAATTTTTGGAGTTATCCTTCCTGGCTGAGGATCGAATATCCTTACTGTAATTTATTTAGGAAGAAGTGCCTTGGCGCCTTTGAAAATTTTAATTCATAAATACATGAACATGCACAACCAAATTATACGATATATAATTGTATATATAATAAATTAGTTATGATTTACATCTTGGTTAAACAAGATATTACGTAGTTTAACATGTTTAATGTACTAAATATAAACTAAACATAAACAACAATCCATTAACAACGTGGCTTACGGAAGCAGAATTACATTAAAACACATACTTTTACTTAACCTGACAAATTTTTATTCAATTATAACAACAGCTAGATATGATAACTGTTACAGATAAGAAGAGTGAAAATATTGAAATGGTAGAGGTATCATAATAGTAAAAGATCAGACTACAGTAAAACATTAGCAACCGTTTAACCTTTCATATTTTATAAAATAATTTTCAGTCTTTTCAAATTTTCTCCACAGAAATATCCGGATCAAAAAATATATATATATATATATATATATATATATATATATATATATATATATATATATATATATATATATATATATATATATATATATATATATATATATATATATATATATGGAACATGTTTTGATTAAATTAAATGTATAGTAATATAATATCATATATAGTAATATAGACGGTGTAATTATATCTGTCAAACAAAGATATTGTATAAAATGTGATTGATTTCAGAGAGAGAGAGAGAGAGAGAGAGACAAAGAGATACAATATTTACTTAAGGCGTGGGGACATTCAAGGACAAAGACGCCTTTGGTGTCATTTTGGTTTCATCTTCCATTACACAGATCAATGTCTTCCAATGAACTCTACAAGTATAATATTAGAACATAAGGAATCATATTTTACTCTCAACAATCTTGTTTCTTAAAATAAATTATATTTAATTCCTCTCATATTAATCCGTTAACTGAAATGTATTTACAGTGTACCACTAGATATTACGAGGGTTGTCCCGGAAAATCGCGAACATTTTCAATATGTTTTTTTTCCACTAATACTATATAGTTAAAAAAAATGGTATACATAATTCATTATCGACATTTTTGTATATGCCTAAACCTTTCAATGAAATATCACTATAAATAAGATTTTTCTCTAACAAAATCAGCTGTCGGAGCAACACTGACGACATCAAAACGTAGCTCGTAGTATTTGACTACTGTGCCTCTAATAAAATTCATTAAAGCATAAATTCGGCACTTTATTTAATTTTCTTTCAGCTACCGTGTTACACATCTAAAAAAAAACAGTAATACCAAAAGATTGCGGAGTTGATTCTTTAAATAATCAATTTCACAAATCTCATAGACCTAACTGAACAAATTGTTTAACAACGGTCTTCACGTAGCCCTACGACGTCCTGCTCCTGTCTTTTCAGTTTGTCTGTATCATTCTTTACTACCGGATAACCAGTCAAGTCAACCTCAAAACCCTTCAACTAGAGATTAACCTGTTTCCCATACTTATATGATTATGTTTTTTCATCGTTAACATCTCTTTTCGCTATATACAGGTGTCATATCCCGCTCAACATAGTGTTCCGTAATAATTTGGTGTTGCACATTACCACCCAATTGCAACGTCACCATTTTTGACCATGTCTAATTTAAAGTGCTTTGGCACACATCGGTATATATTTTATATATTTAATTAAAAACATTATGCTCCATGGCGATTTAGAAGTTGCTAATTAGAGTCCTGCACTTAAGTCCGTCATCAGGTCATAAGCGAAAATCAAATATCACGCCAACATTTAGATAGAATTTGATGCAGGATAATACATGAAATCCCATTTGCAGACAAGTCAAGTAGTTAAACAGCGTTAATATTAGCTCTGAATCATTATTTCTTGACGCCAGTCATTACTCAATTTGTTTGCACTCACTGTTGCAGTTATGAGATCCCATCTTAAAAAAATAATGATTCATTGCTTATTTACAAAACATTTCCTAATTCATCTACCATAGAAAACGATGGACAAAACATGTATATTGAATACACAACATGATAAAAAAAAAATCCAACCTGTGTAGATCATTTGATCACATATTGAAAATCCCCATCTATACTGGTGTTGCTTCATTCGCTGTTGGATTGTTGAATTCTGCATTAAAACAAAAGATTAATATTATCTTTATCAGTATGGTTCAGCACAATTTATGGTAAAGAAAATCAAAATAACAATAATTGATAAAAAAAGAAAAGATTATTTACTTAACACTCCAGTCGTGGTCGTCCCATCCAAATATGGCTCAAAGAAATGTTTCTTTAATTTCCCGTACTTCTCTCTTTTGGACTTGTTGCAGTAACAAATAATCATTAAAAAGGTATATCTGCATTCCGTATACCTCCATACAAACAGAAAAGGATTGATGAAAGAGTTCAAGAGAAGCAAAAGTCCGGTGAAACTCTGCCAGGTCAAAATACTTTTCTTATTCGAGGGATCCGTATTTATGAGATCAATAATATTCATTATTATTGTTGGAGTGTAGAGGAACATGAAACAGCCTAGAATTGCCGATAACTTGATAAGAATCCTTGCCTGATACTTGAATTGTTTTTCCCTGGTCAAAGCTTTCAAACCAGAAGTTCCATTGGATATTTTGTGCATTTTTATGAACATCAGAATGTACAGAGCAATATTGAGAGAAATCAGGAAACAAAAAATGACTGTGACGGTAAACAAACCTGTTTTACCCCTAATGATGTACGAAGCACAGACGACAAATTTTTGCTGCTTGTAATCTTGAAATCCACCAAGAAAGTTCACCACAGTAAGTAACAGGCCAGTAAACCAAATTCCGAAAATTATAGTGCAGCTTCGTGTTTTGCCCAGTGCCACTAGATAACTAAATGGATAATACAAAGCAATGAAGCGGTCGACAAGCATTCCAGTAATGGTCAGAAAGGAAACAACTACCCCAATACAGTAAAAATACATCAGGAACCGACACAGACCTTCTTCCAACATCGTAGGTAGAAAAGCATCTATCAATATGGCCACCCCGGTCATGAGGTCGGTAACAGCCAAATTGATAGACATTAGTCTGATCTGCTTGTTCATCCTTTTGCTCTTTGCAAGAATAATGATGGCTGAAATATTAACGACGGCAATGAGGAGGCCTGTGAGGGATGGGACCACGGCATTCTGAAGGACCAAGGTGCTTCGTCTTGTTCCATTCCCCTCCATTTTGGAAATATGATGCAGATGAACCTCCTCCGTTGATGCTCAAGACTATAATATCCTGTGATGTCTTAGTAAATAAAAATTACATGACTGTATTCACGTCTCTCTCGATTTCAAGGTGCGTCCATATCAACTGTCTTTGAAATCTTCCTTTGTTCTACCTTGATTAATTATGATTTTGCAAAGACTTGCATTTTTTAAATAAAATATTTATTACATATCATTATGAATAGCGGCAAAATAACGCGAAAGGTTTTTCACTCCAGATCGTATGTCATATCGTGATATTCTTCTGATGAAAACAACTGTTATCCTACTATATATATATACATATATCACAAAGTAATTAAATTGACAGAAAAGCCGTAATTTTTTATTCGAGGTTAAATATCCAAAAGGTTTGAAAGCGATCCACGCAAAACAAGATTTAGTTAGACAACTTTCATACAAGCTTTGAGATTGCCTATATTTCATATCAACACCAACATCAAAACGAGATCAGTAAAAACTCTTGTCAGTCAAAGTTATCTGTTAATTTGATTGACAGGTTGGGCACACATGTTATTTGAAACTCTGAGATAGCCCTTCCGACAGAGTGTGAAAAACTGCGAAATAAGACAATAATTATGTTATGAATAAATTTAATACACAATAATCATGACAAACAAGATTATCTGCGTGGGAAAAAAAGAAGAGGTCTTTCATAAACTGATGATACATAGCCCATTTAACCTAACGTTAGTCAATATTACCTAACAATAATTGATAAATTGATTAATAAATAAATCTTTTATGTGAAAATTATTTACGTAAATAATATCATGCAAGTAGGCGCTAATTTAACCTGAAATCGACAAAAAATTAACATCAAATGAACGTTAATTTAACTTTTATTGAAATTAAAAATAAATTAAGAAATAATCAATGTAGCTATAACTGGCTGTGCAAGCTCTTTTTTTCTGTCACTTTATCTGTTTATTTTATCTTAAAAATTCATGTAAAAACTATCTTTACATAGACATGCTCAAGTCTCTATGTTTTATATTATATAATTAGTGCTCTCTTTTTATAATTTTTATAATGTCAAACATTTAAACATTTAACTATGGTAGAGAGCAGAGGGAAGCAACATAATAATAAACAAAGAATTTTTGAAAGTAAAAAATAAAATAAAACATAGAGACTTGAGCAAGTTTAAGCTATAGACTCGTGTAGCCATATCGTAAATAACTACGCACGCTAACTCTCGATTCAGGCCTTCAGGCAGATCTAGCAGCTGCAGTTACTTTTTATGGTGATGGGACATTTTACCCCTGTCCGACTCTCTTCTTCCAACTCTACACATTTCATGCAATGGTGGATGGTGCCATGTCCCGCTAGTATACAGCTTACTTCCAGCTAAGAGTCAACCAGTATACACAAGATTCCTAATTCTACTCAAAGACTTGTATCGCCAACACCAGCTACAACTTCCAGCCAACTACTATCTTTCTGGACTATGAAATTGCTATTAGAAATGCAGCTTACTCTGTCTTCCCTGGTATCAACGCTAAAGGATGTTTTTTCCACTATACACAAAACATTTGGAGAAAAGCACAAGAAACGGGTCTACAAGTTCCTCACAAGGAAGACGGCAACATTCACAAACTAGTACGCCGCGCTGCCTTTCTTCCCCTAATCCCTACCGCTGAAGTTGAAGATGTGTGGTTTAACCCTAACAAAAAAATACTATAGTAAACTATAGTTTACTATAGTTAACTATAGTTAACTATAGTAAATCAAAGTTCCAAAGTTTTTCCATAGTAAATCAAAGTTCCAAAGTTTTCACCATAGTAAATCAAAGTTCCAAAGTTTCTACTATAGTAAATCAAAGTTCCAAAGTTTTCACCATAGTAAATCAAAGTTCCAAAGTTTTTACTATAGTTAATCAAAGTTCCAAAGTTTTCACCATAGTAAATCAAAGTTCCAAAGTTTTCACCAAAGTAAATCAAAGTTCCAAAGTTTTTACTATAGTAAATCAAAGTTCCAAAGTTTTCGCCATAGTAAATCAAAATTCCAAAGTTTATGTCATAGTTATTCAAAGTTGCAAAGTTTTTACTATAGTTATTCAAAGTTTTAAAGTTTTTGTAATTACTTTAGCAACTTTTTTATAATTTAAATAAGTTATTTCTATCATCATTCAACTGCTTTAAGGGGAAAGAAATTAGGCTTGTTTGGGTTGATTTTGTTGTTCATCTTAATTTTAATAAGCAAAGTAAATAATGTAAATGCAATATTTACATTTAACAGTGAAAACATGTTGACTGAAACTAATAAAGGAAATATTTTTATTCTGAATGACACAAATCTTATCTTAGAGTAACTTTTTTTTCTCCATAAATAAGATTTACGTTTTATCCGTACAACATTGAAATTAAATATGTTTGAATAAATATTGTTTTCTTTTAGGTGCAAGAGACAATTTGTATATTACAATTCATTTCTTGTACATTATTCTGTTAGGGGACAGATTGGGTATTTTAGTAGTTCTCTAGAGCTT